AATAATTTCTGGTAAAGATTAATTTTTTGTTTTTCTTTTCCAACTTTAAAATTTTTTTTGAAATTTTTAATATAAGTAAAGGATGAGAAATCCGAAATTTTAATGATTTGAGTCACGAGCTGACCTTAAAAGCTCTATATTTTAAGTTGAGATTCTAATACAGATTTCACGCGATTTTTTTGTTTTGTTGTTTTTCTTTTTTGTTTTAAGGAGGCTTTCTTTAGGATGTAAATTTCTTTTTTTTATTTTTTAAAAAGGGTGAGATTTAGTTTAAATAGAAGTGGAAGGTCCTTTCCTTAAGCAGTAACATCATATTTAGACTTTAATGTTAACAAGTTTATTAATTATCCCTATTTTAGGAGTTATTACAATTTTCTTAATTGGTGAAAACGTTTTACGTGCGCCGTTTAACTATTAATTGAGCCTGTAATTTGGATACAGTTGGGTTGGCCTTGTATGAGTAGGACCATTTTTTTTTGGAAAGCAGCCAGCGAAAATGGTTGTCGATTAGACTTACTCCCCAAAAGATAGAGACTTAGGCATCCTTCGAAAGTAGGAGCTGACCACAGCATGTCTCTTTTCAGAGTAGTTATGGTTACGAACAGAAACCTGATATATATTCCGGGTTGACGTTACCCAATCCTGCCCTCGAGGATTTCCAGTGATCATCATGTGAATAAGTAAATAACATGAAAAAGGCTTAACTGGAGGAACTTATTTGGAACCTAACGCTACATCAATCAATTAATAGGAACTCGGGATTGCCTAAGGTGGAGACACTATGGTAACGGATACAGAATAGTACTTAGGAGGAGTTTTATACCCTCGGATTTTCTTTTTTATTTTTTACAGGAAGTCTGTAAACTTTTGGTGGGTAGCTGGAAAGTGCGTCATAAGCAATACCTGTTGAAACAAGCGAGTGCTTTCCAGTCCATCAGGGTCAAGCCGTATACTTGGAAACTCGTACGTACGGTTTAGAGGAGGGATTTCATTTATCTGTGCTACCGACACCGATAAGAACTTCTATTCCTACTTCAAAAACAGGTAGCACTTATTTCCTCATTAATCAATTTTGTTTTATCCTTAGTTTTATGGGCTAATTTTGATTTTAGTTATTATGGTTTTCAATTTGTAACCGAGTTATCTCCTTTTGTTTGGGGACGATTAGGCCTTGATGGTATTTCTATCTTTTTCGTTTTATTAACTACATTCACGATTCCAATTTGTATTTTATCAAGTTGGGACTCTATTAAAGTAGGAATCAAGTATTTTTTGATGAATTTTTTAATTTTGGAAACATTATTGATTGCCGTATTTATTGTTTTAGATTTACTACTATTTTACATTTGTTTCGAAAGCACTTTAATTCCGATGTTTTTAATTATTGGAATTTTTGGTCATAATGAAACACGTATTAGAGCTGCTTATCTCTTCTTTTTATATACTTTATTGGGATCACTTTTTATGTTGCTAGCTATCTTAGTAATGTATTTTTCTGCAGGAAGTACAGATTTCTCTTTATTAGAAACAACGGAATACAAATTAGAAGTACAAAAAATCCTATGGGCTGCAATCTTTTTTGCCTTTGCAATTAAGACACCTTTAGTTCCTTTCCATATCTGGCTCCCATTGGCCCATACAGAAGCACCTTTAGCGGGTTCTGTTGTTTTAGCGGGAATTATCCTAAAATTAGCAGGCTATGGTATGTTGCGTGTGTTAGTAGGGTTTTTCCCAGAGGCTTCTGGATATTTTACACCTTTAGTTTATACTTTCTGTGTTATTAGTATTATTTATACCTCTCTAACCATCTTACGGCAGATTGATCTTAAATCGATTATTGCGTATTCCTCGGTAGGGCATATGGCTATCGCCGTACTTGGAATCTTTTCTAATTCTCTTTCGGGAATCGAGGGTAGTATCCTTTTAATGCTTGCCCATGGAATTGTATCACCTGCCCTTTTTATTTGTGTAGGAGTGTTATATGATCTTTACCATACACGAAACATGAAATATTACCGAGGTTTAGTTCTACATATGCCTGTGTTTGTATGTTTCTTCTTTGTATTTATTTTAGCCAATATGGCAACTCCGTTAACCGCAAATTTTATGGGAGAAACATTAACTTTCATGGGGGCGTTTAAAACAAACCCGGTGCTCACTGCGCTAGGTGCTACATCTATTGTATTATCCGCTGCTTATTCAATTTGGTTCTTTAACAGAGTAAGTTTTGGTGCGCAGTCAATTTATATTAAACCCACGGGGGATCTTAACCGTCGTGAGTTCATGTTATTACTATCTTTACTTTTACTTACTTTATTACCCGGTATCTTTCCTAATTTAATCTTAGACCCATTACATGTGAGTGTTTCTAACTTGCTTCATTCCCCTCCCTTTTAAACAATCTAAAAGTAATGATAATTTTCTATTCAATTCTAATTCTTTCGAAGATTAAAATTTCGATCCCATCGACAAAATTGGCGGACTAATTGAACTGCCCTCGTAAGCACCTCTCCGAAGACTAATAATAAAAAGCCCCTACGGGGGGTATGGGCATCGAGCCGGTTTAGGTGTTATGAAATGTTGGACGGCCATTCTCCGCTTAGCAAATAGCTGGAAGTACTTTTTTGAATTTGATTTAAAAGTAAAGGGAAGGAATTTGCTAATTTTCTTTCCTCTCTGGCTAATGAGCCACAATCCCTTCTCACTCTGGGAATCAGGGGTATTGTTATACCCTTATGACATTCTCGCTTCGGCACTTGAAGGTTGAAATTACAATGATAAAAACTCTAATTAACAATTCTAAATGTTCTTAATCGTTTTGAATTTCTTAGTGAACAATCCTCTAGAACAATTCGAAATCAACGATTTTCTATATTTATTAGCGCCAATCTTCGGATTCACTAAACTGTCTCTGACAAATATCGGATTCTACTTAATTCTAGTAGTATTTCTTATTTTAACGATGAATTTATTAGCAAGCAATCATTATTCACTTATCCCTTCTCGATGGTCAATTTCTCAAGAGTCTCTGTATGGCTCGGTATTAAATCTGGTTCGAGAACAAATTGGACCTGCTAATGAAATTTATGTACCATTTATCTTTGCTTTATTCCATTTAATTTTAGTAGGAAATCTTGTTGGATTTATCCCTTACAGTTTTACTGTAACTAGTCAGTTTGTTTTACCCATTGCACTTAGTGTTAGTATTCTTATTGGAGTCACGATTATTGGATTTCAACGGCATGGAATTGGGTTTTTTGCCCTTTTCATCCCTTCGGGTGCACCATTAGGTTTAGTGCCCCTTCTTGTTGTTCTCGAATTAATTTCATATTTAGCACGTGGGCTCAGTTTAGGGCTGCGATTAGCAGGAAACATGATCGCTGGACACACTTTACTTAAAATCATTTCCACATTCGGTTGGGCAGCATTCATTTCTGGCTCAGCGGTCTCTATTTTTGGTTTGTTTAGTTTTGTCTTATTACTATTATTTGCAGTATTGGAACTGGGAATCGCCATGTTTCAAGCGTATATCTTTACTCTTCTAACTTGTCTTTACATTAAAGATACTATTAATTTACACGGCTAAGAGTAGCCTCCCCACAAAATCTTAAAAGAAAAGAAAGAAAGAATCACCCCCACTTATATAGTTGAATATTTTGGCCTGAGCCCTTACTTAAGCAGTTACACTTTATTATTAAACACTATGACAACCTTTTTCTTTAAGGGGCTATTAATTACGACATACCCTACTCGTGTTGGGGCTCTTATCTCTAGTATCGTACTCCCAGGCGGAATGCGGCTATCTGGTCACGCCCAGTGTATGGGGTTCTTTAGAAAGTATACAACTGATCAGGAACTTCCAGATCCAAATGATCCTTCTATTTCATACCCAGAATCACCGGCGGACGAATTTCCAGTTGTTAAAACCTTCTCTGATCTTCACATTTCCGATAATATTATCGCAGCTTGTGCAGAATTAAAGGGGGTATTAAAAATAAAAAGATTGTATTAAATGCCTTGAAACGGGTGCAATTTATGTAGGATCTTCTGCTGACCTTTCTGGCCGAATGAAAGATCACTTGATCGACAGTTCTAATGCAAGACTACGAAGAGCGATTACCAAGTACGGGCTAAATCGATTAATTTTCCAAATTCTTGAGTTTGTTGAGATGAACCCTGAATTAGCACCAGAGGATAATAGATCCACCTTATTAGCGAGAGAGCAGCATTATCTTGATCAATTATTTTTACGACAGGAGAAACTACGATATAATTTTATTCCTAACGCAAGTTCTCCATTCCCCCTTTGGGGGCCTTTATTATATTATTATATAATAAAGAGGGTTATAAACACACCGAAGAGGCTAAAAAGAGAATTAGCCAAGCCCTTACAGGTTCTCTAAACCCCTTTTTCGGTAAAATGACACCCACTGCTTTCCTTCCAGGAGAGTCTAACCCGAGTTTTGGAGTTACTCCCCTGAACGCTAAACCTGTTTATGTTTATAATACGAACAATGAGTTAGTCCGATAATTTTCTTCTCAGACGGAATTAGCCAAATGGTTAAACGTTAGTAGAATTACTGTTCTGAGATATCTCCGGTCTGGTCGGTTATTTAAAGACTGCGCGGAGCTCGGGTCTCTCCGAAGGGGAGACTCTTTTATTTTTACTAATTCTCCTCTATAACTGAAATTAATGCAAGAGGAGTTCTTTTTGTATTAGTTAGGCTGGACACGTTCTTCTAAACATTTTCTCATCAATTACTTGGGGCCTATTACATAATGGCGTGATCCCTCTATTAGGGGGGTTACTATTCTTTGGGGTGCTCACTCTTTTAGCTCTATTAGAATTCGCAGTAGCATTTATCCAGGCTTACGTATTTGCATTATTAGTTTGCTCCTATATTATTGTTTTAGTTTTAGCACTTTTAGTAATTTCCTATCGGGAGCGTTAGAAAACGTTCCTACCCCGGGGAGATTTTCTACTAATTTTCTGATACCTGGCTCATATAACCTAAAGGAGAAGGTAGGGTACTTCTAATACCCTTATTTTGGTTCGATTCCAAATGTGAGTAATTATTACCTAAAGATCTCTACGAAAAAAAGCTATAATTGTTTCGGGGAGGAATCGAACCTCCTTCACATGAACTTCAGTCACGTACTTTAACCATTTAAGCTACCAAAACCCCATTTGGGTGTGAATAACACTCTTCTTTTATATTCCTATCCGACCTGCGCTCCTCGCACTTTTTATTTTTAGTTTATATTAACAAGAAAAAGTCTTAAAAGAGTAACTTAGAGGCCCGTGTGGGGAATGTTCAGGTGTTATACACAGAGGCGAGATAGTGTTCTATAATCATCTCCGTTACTAGGAAACGGTTATGGTCGAAATGAGCATTATTAGCAAATTAGGACATCACCAAAAATTCTTACTATCCAAAAACCTTGTGTTTGGGTATAGGATTCAGGATTTTCAAAATAGCCAAAATAGTCCCCAGCCAAACTGTTATCCCATGAATCTATAGAAAAGAGGTAATCAGTACAAATCTATCAGATTCCAATCCTTCCTTATTTGTTGATTTTACGGTTTTAATTGAATAAAGGCGGAGCGGATGGTTTTAAATGATTCTTTTTATCAAAAGTCTATATTATATAATAATATGGACCCGCGGAGCGGAGTCTCCCCTTCGGGGTGACCACACTGAGTGTAGTCTGGAGATAGACTTGAACTATCAACTCCTAAGTATGAATTAAGTGTTTTACCGGTTAAACTGTCCAGACAAAATTGAAAGCCATCATAAGTTATTGGAGAAAAAACCAGGATATTAGTACTCTATATATTATCTTCTCTATTTTTTGCAGGAATACTATTGTCTCTCGAATGGGTGATTGGTTGGGGGTTATAGAACCAGATTTTTCTGAATTTTGATTGTTTTAGGGAATCTGGTGGTCTTTTTACGAAACAGATCGACTATCTACTTAGAATTTGCTACAGGCTTTAAAGCCAAATTAACTTATCTCAAATAATTCTTAGAAATTAACCCCCATATTCCACCTCTTATAGTTTAATATTGGTAAAACCTTGTCTATAAAAAGAAATGAGAAATAGAAAAGATTTCAGTACGAATCTGAATAAGAGGCTAATATAGATTCATTTAACCATCATTTATACTATCATTAATTCAACCGGCCCCTTCGGGGAATAATATTGACCTATTTATCCTCGCGAGCGAGCCCGGGAGAATTGTAACCTGCTTCAAAATACTGCTCTTACTCTCACAAGGGAAATAATCAATTAATACTCCTTTCTTATATTCTGAAGAATTTAATGTAGAATGGAATAAACTCTTCTCTAGTAAAGTTACACCCTCTAATTTTGTAGAATCTTAATACCCCTCGCCTCCGGCGCGCGCGGAGCGCAGGAATTTCTTTGAGTCAAAGGGAGAAAGGGGGGTTTTAGTCAACTATTTACATCTAATTACTAAAAAATAAACTAATTAACGTCCATCCCGCACAATTTAACCCTTCAATTAATTTAACATGCTGAATTTAGAGAAGGGGGGGAATTCAACAGGTCATCTCAATCAATTCTGTTAAAATGACCAACGAGATAGACGCACTCATCAAACTTGGTTAATGAAATAAGCCATGTTAACGATGCTAATAAGGGGAAAATGTATTAAAGAATGTATAATTAAGAATTGTCAGCGGATGAATCATCATCTACTGGAAAACCAGGCACCTCTACCAAATTACGCCCATCCTCAGATACTTCAACAGTTTCAATGAATTTTTCGTACTCTTTGATAAAATCTTCCGGTGTATTAATGTTAATTGATTTTACTGAAGCAAAGCAAGTGTGATGAATAATTTAATGTAGAATGGAATAAACTCATCTCTAGTAAAGTTAGACGCTCTAATTTTGTATAATTTTAATACGCCTCGCCTCCGGCGCGCGCGGAGCGCAGGAATTTCTTTGAGTCAAAGGGAGTGCCGCAAGGTGCATGGATAATTATGTTCAGAGGATTAATAATTCCTTGGTTAATAAGGACAATAATGAAAGCGCTGATTAAGGATCCAGTAAATTTTGTATCGAGATTGTAATGGGCTAACACTTTACCTGTTTTCATGTCGATTACAGTAAAGATATATTTAAATCCAGCCCCGGAGGGCCCGCGGAGCGGAGATTAGTTTTAAGTGGAAAACTCCAATAAATAAAGCACAACCTTTATATGCTTTAAAATCAGCTGGAGAACTAAAAAGGTTTGGGAGTCTGTTTGTCATTTGTAGTATTTTGTATTTCTTATAGAACAGCAAGGTAAAGTCAGGGTTATATCCTGAAGTTGAAATCGGAGGGGGTTTGGGACAAAGTGAAAACTACCGACACCAAACGGGCACGCAATGTGCGTGGGTCCACATGCAAATTAACCTAAATCAGTAACTTAACTAAATTTACATCATCTATTAACTAAATCTTTATAAGTAATTCTGCATATTAATTCCAGTTGTATTATCCTAATGTTTTCGACCCCACTTTTCTACCCAAATAAAAAGGTTAAATTATTCACAAGTCTGGATATTGTAATCTAACGATTTAAACCTCAAGTGCAAGACTACGTGTTAATTTCTTTACAACCATATAACCACCTTGAAGATTACGTGCCAAAATTTCGCGTGTAGTCTCACACACTTCCTTACCTGTAGCTACTTTTACAAAATCTTCATATTTAATACTATTTCTCTCGAACCCAGCAATTACACATTTAGATTTTCCACTTTCTGTTACATAACCATATTGTTTAGGAGCAAGGAAAGTCGCCTCTTTAATAACTTCACCATCAAGCTCATCTTTCCACTGTCCTAATTCTAGACCCAATTTTGTATGGTCGAGTGCTTTAGAGCAGAACATTGAATCAGTATCTGAGTAGTGTACTTCAAATTCAGGATTTAATTTGTATGGATTCACAATCATTCGTGAATAAGCTGTGATAGCTGCTGCAATACTCACATTAGCTTTCGTAAGTAATCCCTTGGATTCTGGATCATATAATACCAAATTAATATCCCCAGTAACTGGCATTTCTTCAACCCGCGAAGCGGAGTTCCTTTGTTTCTTAAAGATTCCAAGCTACTATATTCCATTAATTTTGTCTCCATATTATCTGGACGTCGCCCAAAGTAACCATATAATCCATTTAGAAGCAACTTAACGAGGTATCTTTCTCCCTCCGCTCCGCGGGCCCAGGGGGCTTTAATTTCTAACTCTTTAGTAACACACATAATCTCACTGTTAAGATCTAAATTTTGTGTCTCAGTATGTTGCGAGATTAATTCCTTTAATTCTAATTTAAGGGCTTTACGATCATTATCTAAAATAAGTTTTTTACCATAGAAATGGTTTACATACTCTGTAAATAGATTTCCGGGTTCAAAACGGTAACCTGAAATAATCTCATAATTATATCCAAACTTTCGTAGCTGTTTCAATTCCTCCGAAAAGTAAAGCCCACTAAAATTTACTCTCCCCTCCGGGGGCGCGAAGCGAGGGTAACTTAACTTACCATTAGCACTCCCACATTGCAGCACAGGGTTTAAGACCTCATGTCCCACATTCACTCTCACATTTAAAAACCCAATCCCGGAGGGCCCGCGGAGCGGAGAAACTATTTAAATTTGTAATATCACGGCTGTAACCTAAATAGTGTAGTGGACCTGTTTCATCATAGCTGTAGGATATAATGAATTTACATCATAATAATGTAAATTTTTCCCAATCTTCTTAAATACCTGTGTGGCCCCGCCTCTATACCCCTCTCTAATTTTACTCTCAAGAAATCTGGGTAAAATAGGAATATCAAAAGGAATGAACTTAGTTCTATAAATTTTCATGGCTAGAGAGGAAGCACTTATTACCGTAGTTAAATCAATACTATAATCATTATAGAGAATTTTTCCGGCAGCATTCATAACGTCTAATAATGAAATCAAATCCTTGGCTAAATAGGCTTCTACAACCTCTCGTTTAGCTTCTAAATTATTCAGATTGATTTCCTTATGGTCAATATCGCCTTTAGCAATAGGAACACCAAACATACGCGATAAGGTCGCTAAACTCGAGGGGAAAATCCGATAAGAGTCTTTAATAACACAATTTGGGAGTGTGAAACAAATAAACTTCTTAGAACTATCCATTAATAATTCTAATTTGGTCCCTAACAACTCAGTTAGTGGGTTTAATAGATAAACACCATCAAATCCTCCCAAATTATGGACGTAAATGGTATACCCTTTACACTCTAACTAATTTACACAGGTCCAATAATAATTGGCGTGATGCTTCCCACGGGTTTGTTAAATAATCTGGGTAATCTGTAAGGTATAATAGTTTATTTTCTCCACCAGTTAATCTAAGACCTCCAGCGTAGACTATTAGTTTACCAGCATTCCCTCCTTCAGTTAAAGTAACAGTTTCAAGATCTAAACTACCGATCTTAGTATTTACTTGTGTTGCGGGTTTAATCTTACCAATTTGCAAGTGAGACTTCGTTTTTTTAATGGGTGTCAATCTCATAATAGCCACAGTTACATCATTAGATGCATACCCCTGGTTCTCAAAATATTTTCTCATTCCAATGTTTAATATACTCTTTATGAGTTGTTGCTTTTGTAATATTTAAAGCATTATTTAAATAAATAATACCCTCGGCCTCCGGCCGGCCCTTTGGGGCATTTTGTTGATCCACCCCCCGAAGGGGGCTTTAACAGCAAACAATGTTTGAAGTTCCCCAGTTGTCTTCAATGCATCCGATAGCTCCGCTCCGCGGGGAGCTCTGGAGATTTATAGAGTTTCTGCCACATTAATTCAATCACTTCAGCTAGAGATATTGGACCTGGTAGAGGTAATGTATAAATTAAACTATTCCCATTTGTATTAAACTCTCCATCTAATTCCTCCGCCTTCGGCGGGCGCGGAGCGCAGGTGAGAATGTTAGATTTACTGGAACACCTGTTGATCTTGAAAGGGCTAGCAATCTTTTACTTAATTCATGATCCCCTCTCTCGCGTGCAATCTCACTTAAATTAGATAAATTCATCATCTCATCATTCGATGGATAATAAGCAGCATCCATAATGTAGTTATTAATTAATTCTCGATCAATTGGTGCATATGATTTGAAATAAGCGGCCCCTCCGGGGAGTCTTTTCATTCTTCACCTCGTCTCGGATAGTGTTCCGCATACCTTCAAATTTAGTGTTTATACTTGATTCCATAGCCTGCGCTCCGCGCGGGCCCCCCGTAGGGGAGCCTCAATTTTAGAACTCAGATCTTTAACAATGTTTAGCAATTCGGCATCCATTGTAGACTTAGTAGATGGTTGCGGGTTTGAATTAGTAGATGATAATGTGTTTGAATCGGTAGATGATAGCTGGTTTGAATCCGAAGAAGTGTTAATAGAATTAGCTGGGACGAACCAGAACGCATTAGCTAAAATGGTGAAAAATGATGTTAATGGATTAGCATTAGAATTAAAAGCACCTGATTTAATAGCATTAATCTCACTCTGCATGCTATTAATCTTGGAATCTACAGCGTCAAATTTAGAATCAATTTTAGAGTGAATACCTTTAAGTTCAGATGTAACATTAGTGTTAATAGTTTGAATAGCAGCTAAAATCTCGTTAATAGGCATAGGAGTTGCGTTACTAGCAGCGGATTCAGTAGTACCATTAATAAACTTAGGAGTGGGATTACTAGGTGCCGATTCAGTAGTATCATTGGTTGATTTATCCTCAAGACCAGTTCCTAATCCCGTGTTAGATAATTTCATACTAGATGAATACGGAATTTTATCACCTGATCTGAATTTAGAAGAATTATTATTCTTAGACATAAGCCAAAGATCTTCCAACATAGCAAGAATGAGAGTGAGTTGAGAGGCATTTAAGGGAGATTTGTAAGCGAAAGCCCAAAACTGTTTATAAGTTTGGTAAGATAGATTATTAGGTTTACCTTTAAGAGCTTGATCTCTGATTTTGTTCAAATCCTCACGAGGAAATTCTTTGATATCGAACCATTTGTAAAGATTAACTAGATCTTGGAAGTGATTCTCGTAATGATGATTGAAGAAGCTTCCGACATTACCGCCAAATTACTTAAGTGAAGCGGTAACTAGATTAGCGAATGTTGCTTTGAAATTAGCTTGTGACATATTTTAGATATAAAGAAGGTAACAACCCCCAAGGTTTAGGCTTGAGCTAATCCAAAGTTTAGCGGAACTGACCGGAATCGAATCGGCATCTTTTGGCGTGACAAGCCAAAGCTTTTCCATTAAGCTACAGATCCCCGAGAAGTTGCAATATAATAGTATTTTAGATTGACACCACCCCCGGGTTATATTTCAATCTATTCCTATTCTGTTTTCCCGCAGGTTTTGGACCCGGGTATAACATTCAGTGCAATTCGATGGGTGATAACTCTTTCCTCCGTACTATAATAATTAGCAGACGATTGTTGTAATCCAATTAGCACCCTAAACGGGTCATGCCGGAGACTCCCTGCCCTTCGGGCCCACTCTTTATCCTCGGCTTCGCCCGCTTTTTATAATATTATATTATAATAAAGAAGGGGAGAGTAATACCCAATATAACTCCATTCGATTGGTACTCTACCTAATAACTAGGATATTAAAGGTAAGGGTTTCCCTATAAGCATAGATTAACACCGGTTATTTAGACAATTTAATCATATATTTTCATCGAAAAACCTTTTCGGATCTAATATATTTCCGTACCATCGCCTCGCTAACACCAAGCCAACTTGCTGCCGCAACTTGAGATGTAAAACTATTTGTCAGTTGCCCGTCTAAAGAATAGATAGAAATTGCTTTCGCATTCGGAGACACTGTTCCAAACATGGGATTATTAGAACCTAAAAACGTACACTTTCCGGATGAGCTAATTTTGGCCCGAGTTTCCGGAGTTTGGCTAGAGCCTAAACGTGACTCAGCTTTCTGATTAATATGATATCGGGGTTTAAAAGTATCTAAATACTGTTGCTCTGCTTCGAGTAAAGTAGATTTCATATTACTTTTAGAAGAATCATCTAAGATGATAAATGCAAAAACTAAAAATCGGAACTGCCCAACACCGTTGGCAATCTATAAAGATTTATTGAATGATAAATAATAACCATTACAGAATTTTCCGGATCTCGCAACCCGGCCAATGTTTCGGTGATCACTATCTTTTTTACTTTTAATCCCTTCGGGCCCGCGGAGCGGAGACAATAAAAAAGGTAAGAAAACGAGAAGCAGCTCTAGAACTTTGGAAAGAAAATCATAATCCTTTGCATTCAGCACAGAAAATATACACGGGTAAGCCCTTGGTAGTACGAATTTGGTTTCTTACCTCCGCTGTGTGATGTTTCCCATAGAAACTGTTATTAGCAACATAATTTTTGGCTGAAATAGCTGCTTTAGCTTCTGGCGAATGGGATAAACCTAAAAATGGGGCTGAAGCATTCTTAGAAATATTATACACTGGCCCCGCGAAGCGGGAGATAATAGATCTAATGCCTTTTGCTCATATGTTAATAACAGGCTCCCAAAAGTCTTTGTAACACTACATTGGAATTAAACCCTGAAATGTGACAATAAAATCTATAGGATAAATCTCCAGAGGACCCAATGTAATAGTGTCCATTAACATGATTCAAGAAAAGATAAACACCAGAGTTACCTTTTAGCTCCTGCATAATCGCTACTTTATTTTCCAACAAATTAGAATAAACAACAGTTTTCGTAAAAGGTTCATTGATATTTGCAAGAAATGATAGATCAGGTCCTGGCCTCCGGGGAGGTCCTTCACAATATAAAATGCTATAATTAATATTGAGAATAATGATAAGCGTAAAAAATAGCATAATCGCAAAGATACAGCGGAGTAATAGAATTTTTCATTATTATGTAAATCAGCACAAAGTACAGTTAGTTAAACAGATGACTTTGACCGCCTAACAGGCCCGAGAAACATACCACCCAGTTCGAGTAGTTTTATTTTATTACCTCCCCTCCGGGGCCCAGCGGGCTTTACTTTTAACAAATTTAGGATATAGTTGGAATCGAACCAACAGGGAACAATTTTCCCAAAGTTTAGCAAACTTCTACCTTACCGTTTCAGTCATATATCCTTAGCCATTATCACCATTCCGGGGGGCAATCTCGAGGATCCAAACAATCGTTGTTTTTACACAGACACTGATTCAAATTTTTCACAATACCCTCTAAACCCCGCCTTATTAGGCCCTGGCTTAGAACAATTCAAAGATGAACTCAAAGGAGATTCTATTTTAGAAGCTCGGCTCCCAAACTTTTATCATTTAATAAAAACTAAATGAAAACAGTCCCACGTAGTGGAGGGGGCCGAAGGGGACACAGAAAAATAATCGTTTTGGTAAATTAATAGAACTTCCAACATAACTTTAATGATTTTTAAGATTTTGCCAGATATAAACACCACCGGCCCTGGGGGTGGAGTAAATTTAAGTGCCAGCATAATCCTCGCTTTATTAAGCAAAGGGTTAGAAAAGAATAATAATGTTTTGTTCATAATAATTATTATAAATATGATCGTATTTGTGTGATCATGTTAAAACTATTCCGCAACTCCTTCCCTCTATTTTGACCTCATTAGTTTCAGTTAAATCCATCTACTAACTTACTTACAGAATCACCACGTGAAGGTTGAGATCTCTGATTCCAGGGGGATCACCGTATTGGTGATAGGGGTTAAGAACAAAAAACACTATTTTATAGAAACTATTCCATAGGAGTAGTTCTGAAAAGAAAGCATCTAAAAGCTTTCCCCGATTTAAGATATCTCCGAATTGTAATTTCATTACAGTTACAATAACGGGCAGCTTCATATCTACTAGGTCTAATACATAATAACTCAAGAGACAGGGCGTCATAAATAAAAACAGATGAACCACCTTTTGAAAGACTTATTAGTTCTTTAGAGTCATCTGAGGGGAATTTCCCTTTATTAGATTTACTTGCTGCAGCACTAAGTTTAGCCCTATGCTCAGCAGATTGAGGACCTAAGATAGCACCAGCAGTGCTACTTGCTGTTGGAGAAAGATTATATTCAGGGTAAAGTGTATCAATCAGGTGTTGTTCTAATGTTAAAACAGATCCTTTTGTAGCTTCTGGTAGAATAATAATGATTAATTTGAAACTATCGTGACCGTGTTTTTTAAAGGCTCTTTGTAATAAAAGATTGCTATTTCTTCCACTTAAATGATCAGAAATTCTCTCTGATAAAACAAGAGAAGAGCCAACATATTTCTTACCATTATGAAGATTTACCCAAATATAACATCCCCCTAAGTGTCGGGTTATACTTATAATGATTTTTTTGTGGAAAAGAGGATTTAAATACACCAAAACCTTTGTCATATTCATTATTATTATAAATGTGATCCATATTTGTGAGATCACGTTAAAACTATTCCAGTACAGGTTCCCCTACACTGACTGTGTTACGACTTTACAGCAGTCGTTGCACTTCCTTGAACTCTATCAGTTATAAAAATGGACTATTAAGTCAACTAATATAACATCCTTAATTTTCAGGTAAGATTCACTTCCGCCGCATGACGGGCCTTATATTCCTGAACTTTCGTACAGGTAAGGACTATCTCTTTCATTCCTTTTTTTCTTTTAAGGGGAAGATTAAACATATAGTCTCTGGCCCCGCGGGGTGCTGATTGTCAAATCTAAGGAATTATCACTAAAAAGTATCCAAAAGCTTAACGATTTCCCAGCATATGGTTAATTACTAATCACTATTCTATAATTAGTAGGTCCTAAAGATTTTTGTTCACCGAAACATGCTGATTTTCGATTACTTACAATTCCGTATTCATGAGCTCGAGTTGCAGAGCTCAATTCATATAGTGGTCTTTTGAAGATTATCTCTAAGTCACCTTATTGAATCTCATTGTGAACCACCTAGCTTCACGCTTGTAGCCCACTCCATTAGGGTCATGAGGGCTTGTCTTAATCCTATTTACTCTAGTTTATCACCAGATATTCAGACCAAAATAATTGATCGCAAGGGTCACGTTACGTTAGCGGACTTAACCTTATATCTTACGACACGAACTGAAGGCAGCCATGCAACGCCTGTATTATACAATTCACATAACTGTCATACTTAGTAGTAATAATATAAAGAGCCCCTTCGGGGTGAAAAACCTTCCCTGATTTAGCATATCGAGAAACTGTACTATAATGGACGTTTAAAAATTTAGCAGCAGCAGCTAATGAAGAAAATTGTTGAATTAAAGTCTTATCGTTAGCATTATAAATAGAAACTGATACGGCATTTCCTGGAATTAGTCCAAAAGATGGATGATCAGGACCTCTGAGACCAAACATAGGATTAGTTTCACCTTTCAATCCCTCATTATTAACGCCATTATTATTATTCTTCATAGACTCACTAATTTTAGCTTTCGTGTCCTCCGAATGTCTATAGCCTAAACTTGAATCAGCCTGAGGTCGAAGATTATATCTTTTTTCTTCCGGGCCCCCGGGGGCCCGCGGAGCGGAGTGAAAATAGTTTATTTAAAAAGAATTGTTCCCGTTCAAGTAAAGCTTCTTGAGAACAGAACTCTAACACAGAAAAAGTAAATGCAGCAATACCATATTTTACTACGGCGTTTAATAAATGAGGATTACTACTTCCGTAGAATAAATGATCCATTAATCTACTACCAAGATCTGCTGAGGACCCAATATACACCGTTTGGCTTTCATTATGAGAAATACAATAGATACCAGAAATCTTATTTAAAGCCTCTCTAGCTGCTTTCAGATTCTCTGTATGATTTAAATCAGAAAAAGAAATTACAGTAGAAAACTCATTTAAACTTTCTGAATAACATACAATCCAAAACGACTTCAAAAGAGTAATTACTAAAATTATTAGTAAGTACGAATAGAGCACCAATATACTTTAATTTCATATTTGTTATAATTTAAGCCCCAAACCCACCCTCACATAATGTTGAGTAATAGATAATTAATATGCTACCTGATTCACGTCTCTCGTGTTATAGATTGTTATGATATCAACTAAGATTTATCATTTTCTTTATTATTTTAATGAACGACAGCAATGCAACGCCTGTATAATATTCAAGGAGTGGTAAGATGATGTGCGGGTTATCACATTAAACAACATGCTTCACTGTTGGTTTTTAGGACCCTCTATACTTTTGGGTTTCAATCTTGCAATTGTACTCCCCAGGTGGAGCGCTTTAATCTACATTTAAAGACCTATTAAATAACAGATCTAAGGCACTCATCGTTTAGGGTATGGACTACACGGGTCTCTAATCCGTTTTGCTCCCCATACTTTCGTATCTCAGTGTCAGTGATTAGTTAGAAAGAAGCCTTCGCCTTAAGCGGTCTTCCAAGGATCACCAGATTCCATCCCTACTCTCAGAATTCCTCTTTCCTCCATTATACTCTAGCTTTATAGTCACTGAATAGCTCTTTTATTTTGAATTTGGGACCATTCAGTTTTATGATGCCACCTACATCAGGGATCAATACTTGATTGATAGCTCCCTGGACTCTGTCTTTATAATCCCCCCCTTCGGGGGCTTTTTATTTTTAGTATATATTAAAAAGAAAAAGGTATTAATCCTCCTCAATCGTTGATTTAGTAGAAAAATATTACCCATTATACGCAATTCCTGTATCTACGTATTTTGTAATAATCTTATTACAAACCCCCAAAGATTTTGATGCTGCTCTAACCCCTGTAAACTCGAAGATTAGTAGTTTAGTTTGGGAGTCAAAACAGAAAATGGTAATTCTTTTATGCCCCCGCCCAGAAAGTTTACCAAATGCGTGATTATTCACTAATTTTGGCAATGTTCTCCGGGGACCATTTGAATCCTTGTAAATTACCTGCCATCTGTAGAATGTTATATCGAGGTCTCATTAAATCAATAGCCAATTGTTCCCAGGCTACAAGCATAGAAGGTTCTACGATGGTTAGAATGATGAAGGCAAAAGATCTAATACCATATTTTGTTAAAAGCGTTCTGTAAATGTGGAGTAGAATTTTTACCCCTCATGTGCTCAGACAATCTTCTGGCTAGATCCACCGCTGATCCTACATAGGTATCCCTGTAAGTAAGCATTTAAACATAGAAATTGCACTAACTCCTTTAAAGATACTTCCCCGGGGTAGAATCTTTATTCTCTAACAAATTAGTAAATACAGAAGGAAATTCAAAAAAGTTTGGGTCTCCTTCACAGAAAAGAGCATTAAAGAAAAAAAGAGGTAATAATACAAAAAAGGAGCACAATGTTAATAGTGCTAAAAAAGAAAACACTACTAAAACAAGATTAAATATAATGGGATATTTGAGGAAGGATAAATAACTATGGATTATATTTTACTTGTAGTCTCTGAGGTATCGAAGTTACCTACAAGTTGGCTAACACAGGGGATTTTACTTCTAAAGTTCTTGTGCTTTCTGCTTTTCTTGTATTTAGTAATATTAGCGCATTAGTTTGATACGCTTTAGACCTATTTATGAAGAATAACGTTTACCCCTCTCGTATTACCGCGACTGCTGGCACGAGATTTGTCGGGATTAATAGAAAAGTACAGTCATTATCCTCCTTTTCGTTACGGATTTATCATTTTAATGTTTCCTCCGTTCTAGTTGACCAGGTCAAAGTTTCCTTCATTGCCTAGTATTCCTCACTGCTGCCCTATAAAATAGGTAAGGCTTTTGTTTCAGAGCCCTTGTGGGAAATTACTCTTTCAAGCTTCCTATACATATTCGGCTTGGTAGGCCTTTACCCCACCAACTACCTAATATAAAATAGACACATCTATAGGCGAAAACTTTTCTTTTTATCCGGCATTTCACCAGTCCTATAGGGAGTTTTCCTATTCATTACTCACCCGTATGCCATGATAATTCTTTATCATTCGACTCGCATGTGTAAAGTCACTAGATAACGTTCACTCCGAGCCAAATTTAAACTCATATTACCTACTCCCCCTCAAAGAAGTGTTTGAAATCTTTATTACTTTTATCTCTATTTTTCTCAATTTTATAATTAAACCCCCATGTGATTCTTTTGTTTTTTTCTATAT